GCTGTTAATACATTAACAGAGGCTGTTAATACATTAACAGAGGCTGTTAATACATTAACAGAGGCTGTTAATACATTAACAGAGGCTGTTAATACATTAACAGAGGCAGTTAATACATTAACAGAGGCTGTTAATACATTCACAGAAGCTGTTTATAAATTAACAGGTACTGTAAATACTTTTGCAGATGCAGATAATACTGTCAGAGACTGTCAATACATTAACAAAAGCTGTAAATTCCTTAACAGAGGCTTTTATTCCATTAACAGAGGCTGTTATTCCATTAACGGAAACTGTTAATACCTAAGCAGAGGCTGTTAATACTTAAGCAGACATTTTTAATACATTAACAGAGGCTATTATTACAATAACAGATGTGGCTAGTCTTTGAAAAAAACTACCTTAAAAAATCCACGCTAAAAACATTTTCTTTTTAAAAATGCATGCCTTGAAAACTTTTTCGTTAAAAAATCCTTGCCTTGAAAATGTTTCTTTAAAAAAATCCATATCTTGAAATTTTTTCTTTAAAAATTCTATTCCCTAAAAAACCTTCTTTAAAACAATTGAAATTCTATTGAAAATCCACGCCGTTTTTGGCCTTTGAAAAAATATTTTTTTAAAAAATCCACGCCTTTTTTGGCCTTTGAAAAAATATTTTTTTAAAAAATGCATGCCTTTTTTGGCCTTTGAAAAAATATTTTTTTAAAAAACCACGCTTTTTTTGGCATTTGAAAAAATATTTTTTAAAAAATCCACGCCTTTTTTTGACCTTTGAAAATAATTCTTTAAAAAATCCACGCCTTTTTTTGGCTTTTGAAAAAAATATTCTTTAAAAAACCCACGCCTTTTTTGACCTTTGAAAAATATTCTTTAAAAAATCCACGCCTTGTGTTGGTCCTTGAAAAAATATTCTTTAAAAAATCCAAATAGATATTTTTAAATCTTCATCTCCCCCTCTTTACTATTTCGACTACGCTTCTGCGTTCAAATATTCTATTTTATTTCATTTAGATTTTATTTTAATTAAAACTCGTTTTGTATTTGCTTACATTTGCAAACACCTGAGAATCATGCTTAAACACTCATATGCGAAAAAAATACTTTTAAAATGTTAATTTATAAAAAAATACAAGTAAGTACAACAAACAATTGTACATTACATGTCCGTCCAACTATTTGTCTCTAATGTTGTGGCCATTTAATTTTATGAAAAAGTTCTATTGTTTCTCTAAAGCGTTCTCCTCCGGATATCAGTTAATAAATCATTAGCCATTTAGAATCTGAGTTGGAAAAAATAAAAACAACAACAACAATAAAATTCAGCTATTGTTATAAAATCAATAGAAACACCTTGACAAGGTCACAAAACTAGTCACAGATTTTTTTCCCAATATTTTTTAACAATTTGTTTGCGTTGCAAGGGGGAAGGTTTTTTCGAAAATGTGAAAATCGTGATTCTCCTTCAGCGGATGGGAAATTTGGGTCAATCAAAATACCAATAACAACAACAACATCAAGACAACAATATGAATTGTAAAACTACGAAGCAAATCGTTGTAAATTTTATTCGAGTGCTGAAATTCAAATTTTCTGACTTGCCAGCCTCCTCCTCTCCTTCCTACTACTACTACTCTTCAGGCCTTTTTGCTGTTATTAATTGCTGGATAATCATGTTCAACATGATACACCTCATTGCAAATTTTTGTAATGTTGTTGTTGTTTTGTAGTTTTGTTGTTGTAGTATTTTTGCAATTTACTACTTGGTATAGTTTTCTTATGAAATTTACAACCGCATTAACCAAACATTGAACAACAAGTTTTCTTTATTTTCTCGGTTTCATTTAATTTTTTTGAGTTCGTTTGTTGCTGTAATTAAATATGAAAATTTATTCTAGTATAACAATCGTTTCTTATGTTATTTTTTTGTTTTTTTGCTTATTGCATATTTAAAAAAACAGCAGCAGCAACAATTATTGCTGCTACCACTTCCACTGGTTAATTGTGTTTTAATAACACGGCCAACCAATGTATTCATGTAGTTAATATAAATATGTATGTATGTAGCTCTTTTTCTATTCGCTTCGTTTATTCACTTTAATTTTCTTACTTTTGCTGCTACTACTAATTCGAAAAAAAAAATTACAAACTAAAACTCAAAACTAGGTTAAGTGCAATCACTTTAAATTGCGTTGAACAGAAATTAAAAAAAAACCGAGCAAAAAAAATCTGAAAATGAAACCAAACTCAAAACTAGAAACCAATTTTTAACATTTATATTAAACATGAAAATTGAGTATTTAGTCAATGAAATGAAAACAGAAATGTTAACAAAAATAAGTTGTTCAATTTATGTTAAGTGCAATTTGTTGTTCGCCTTTTTGTGGTCGATATGTTTATTTTTATTAATTCGACATTGAAATCAAATAAATTAGTTTATTGTTGAAAATTTCAAAATTGATAACATTTTAACACGAAATATCTAATTTAAACGGCAGGCATTCATAGCCAATGGCCTTGTATGACAGTTGTCCAGGGTAACACTTTCCATGGCAAGTTTAATTCTTAAGTCTTTTGATTTTATATGAGTTAGCCTTGAGATATTTGTATATTAATTTTTTTAATTAGTGAAATATTTGAAATAAAAAATTCTTTGAAAAATCCACGCCTTGTATGAATGAGCCTTGAAAAATATTCTTTAAAAAAATCCACGCCTTGTATGGGTGTTGAAAAAATATTCTTTAAAAAAATCCACGCCTTGTATGGATGTTGAAAAAATATTCTTTAAAAAAATCCACGCCTTGTATGGGTGTTGAAAAAATATTCTTTAAAAAAATCCACGCCTTGTATGGGTGTTGAAAAAATATTCTTTAAAAAAATCCACGCCTTGTATGGATGTTGAAAAAATATTCTTTAAAAAAATCCACGCCTTGTATGGGTGTTGAAAAAATATTCTTTAAAAAAATCCACGCCTTGTATGGGTGTTGAAAAAATATTCTTTAAAAAATCCACGCCTTGTATGGATGTTGAAAAAATATTCTTTAAAAAATCCACGCCTTGTATGGGTGTTGAAAAAATATTCTTTAAAAAAATCCACGCCTTGTATGGGTGTTGAAAAAATATTCTTTAAAAAAATCCACGCCTTGTATGGGTGTTGAAAAAATATTCTTTAAAAAATCCACGCCTTGTATGGGTGTTGAAAAAATATTCTTTAAAAAAATCCACGCCTTGTATGGGTGTTGAAAAAATATTCTTTAAAAAAATCCACGCCTTGTATGGGTGTTGAAAAAATATTCTTTAAAAAAATCCACGCCTTGTATGGGTGTTGAAAAAATATTCTTTAAAAAAATCCACGCCTTGTATGGGTGTTGAAAAAATATTCTTTAAAAAATCCACGCCTTGCATGGGTGTTGAAAAAATATTCTTTAAAAAAATCCACGCCTTGTATGAATGACCCTTGAAAAATATTCTTTAAAAAAATCCACGCCTTGTATGACTTGAGAAAAAATATTCTTTAAAAAAATCCACGCCTTGTATGACTTGAGAAAAAATATTCTTTAAAAAATCCACGACTTGTATGACTTGAGAAAAAATATTCTTTAAAAATTCACGCCTTTTATGGTCCTTGAAAAAAGATTCCTTAAAAAATCCATGCCTTGTATGGTCCTTGAAAAAAGATTCTTAAAAATCCGCGCCTTGTATGGTCATTGAAAAACTACTCCTTAAAAAATCCACGCCTTGTATGACTTGAGAAAAAATAATCTTTAAAAAATCCACGCCTTGTATGACTTGAGAAAAAATAATCTTTAAAAAATCCACGCCTTGTATGACTTGAGAAAAAATAATCTTTAAAAAATCCACGCCTTGTATGACTTGAGAAAAAATAATCTTTAAAAAATCCACGCCTTGTATGACTTGAGAAAAAATAATCTTTAAAAAATCCACGCCTTGTATGACTTGAGAAAAAATAATCTTTAAAAAATCCACGCCTTGTATGACTTGAGAAAAAATAATCTTTAAAAAATCCACGCCTTGTATGACTTGAGAAAAAATAATCTTTAAAAAATCCACGCCTTGTATGACTTGAGAAAAAATAATCTTTAAAAAATCCACGCCTTGTATGACTTGAGAAAAAATAATCTTTAAAAAATCCACGCCTTGTATGACTTGAGAAAAAATAATCTTTAAAAAATCCACGCCTTGTATGACTTGAGAAAAAATAATCTTTAAAAAATCCACGCCTTGTATGACTTGAGAAAAAATAATCTTTAAAAAATCCACGCCTTGTATGACTTGAGAAAAAATAATCTTTAAAAAATCCACGCCTTGTATGACTTGAGAAAAAATAATCTTTAAAAAATCCACGCCTTGTATGACTTGAGAAAAAATAATCTTTAAAAAATCCACGCCTTGTATGACTTGAGAAAAAATAATCTTTAAAAAATCCACGCCTTGTATGACTTGAGAAAAAATAATCTTTAAAAAATCCACGCCTTGTATGACTTGAGAAAAAATAATCTTTAAAAAATCCACGCCTTGTATGACTTGAGAAAAAATAATCTTTAAAAAATCCACGCCTTGTATGACTTGAGAAAAAATAATCTTTAAAAAATCCACGCCTTGTATGACTTGAGAAAAAATAATCTTTAAAAAATCCACGCCTTGTATGACTTGAGAAAAAATAATCTTTAAAAAATCCACGCCTTGTATGAATGACCATTGAAAAATATTCTTTAAAAAATCCACGCCTTGTATGAATGACCATTGAAAAATATTCTTTAAAAAATCCACGCCTTGGATTCTCCCTTAAAAATAATCTGTAAAAAATTCCCACCTTCATTAAAAACTCCACGTCTTGTATAATCCTTAAAAAATATATATGAACATTTGAAAAATATATGTTTAAAATCTCCATAGTCCATATATACGTATTTATTGCATATATATATATATATATATATATTTAATTTTCCATTCTAATTTGTATTTATTTTGTATTTCAGTGATTTCGATAAATTGAACAAAGCCGATGTGTACTACAACAATGCCTTGGCATTTACAACAGCTGAAAAATATTTGGGTATACCTGCTCTGCTCGATGCTGATGATATGGCCGCCTATGAAGTACCCGACAGATTATCAATTTTGACATATTTGTCACAGTACTATCAAGCCTTTGCATCACAATGTAAGTTCAAAATTAAATTTTTTCTATAAAATATTGTAAGGCGAGAAAACAAACTTTATAAATTTTTAAAATTATTTTGAAATCTATTTCCGGAGAAAACATTTTTTTGTAAACCAAATAAATATAGATGCACAAATAAGCATTGTACAACATTGCTCTGCCGGAAATGCTACTTTGAAATTTAATTCTCCTTATTTAGTTTCTAAACCACGTCCATAAAATAATTTTTTTTATTAACACGTGATTTGTATTGAATAGAATTTCACTGCCATTGTTACTTACATTGTTAATTATTGCCATATATGGTTAATTTATTTTCAATTACATTTCACAATTGTATACAACAAAAATTTCTCTCGTTACAAAATAGAGGTGCGGTGTAATAAGTTAATTCAGTATATGCGGATTCTTTGATATTCAAACTTTGAATTGAACAACTCTTACATCATTATTTATTCACGATAATGGCGAATTACCTCACTAGTCATTAGTTCATCAGTAATTTTGAATTATATTATCCAGGGTTAAACTTTCTATAAAGACTTATTTAAAGCACCGGGTACAAATGACAATACAAAGTTCGATTCTCTTCCATATGTTGCATTATTTCCATTATGCATTAATATATACAATTATCAAAAATTCTGTCACTAGTTCACATAAACCCATGTAAATCTAAATGATTACCATTGAGTAACTGGTTCATTAGTTCCCTTGTACAAATGCTGATTTCATAAACGATTTCAATAAGAAATCACATGATTTTCTCCTTCAATATTTACTCGCAATCGTTTATTATAGGATCATGACCAAAAGTTCATTAGTTCACCTACAGGTAACAGGTTCGTCAAGATTTCATTATTTCTTACAGTCGTGATTTCGATTAGATTAGATTAGATTCATAATATTTGAATATATGTCTTCCTATTCGACATACAATCAACGACTTTAAGAACAGCTAACAGGGTTCAAGCAATTAATAGTCTTTAAAGTTTGGCTCACTAACAGTTCTAAATTGTAAAAATGGTTCAAAAATGGTTTCTTCATTACCACCAGCGATTCTCTTGCTGTCTCATTCGCAATTCATTTGAATTTTTGTGGCAAATCCAATATAATATTCGAGATTGGCGAAACGAACAACATAGAACAGCTCATATATTTTTCGATTCACTGTAGTAAATATTAGGTCATTAATTTAGTTCCATAGTTCCTTTAGCTCAATCGTACATTAGATGAACCATAGTAATGGACTGGAAGAAAAAACAACTAGATGAACAAAGGGAATAATCGTTAGGAAGGTCTGAGCGTTCAATATATTATGTATTAAATTCAGTAAAAACAACGGAACGGAAGTAAAATGGGACGACTGTAGAAAAATTAACTAGATAAATGAAAGAAAATGATCTAGTACCAATCGTTCATTTTGAAATAGTTCGCTCCTGAATGACCTAACTCTATCTAATATATCTATTTCCCAATTATCAATGATCTCAGCAATCGTATGCCTGCCTGGGCCTATTATTTTGCCAATGGTGCACTAGTTCACTAATGATAATTGGTTCTGGAGCTTTTTGTGAATTTTTAAACGTTTTGTGAATATTAATCACAAAACAAAACTAACGAAATATATATGGTTCAGCATGGGTTCCATCAATAATAGTTCAATAGTTCTCTAGTCTATTATTAGTTCCCTACTAGTTCACAAGGTGTTCTTATTTCAGCATGGGTTCCAGCAATAATAATTATATAGTCTATTATTACTTCCTTGCTATTTCACAAGATGTTCATTATTTCTCATTCGATATTTTAGCACAAAATCCGCATAAGCTTTAATAGCAGATTAATCAAGGAACTTCATTATTTAATATTTTTCAAACTAGTTCTTAAACTGTTCTCTGGGTTCATGAATGGTTCACTATTTCGATAGTAGCCTTATATTAGTATTCACTAACGTTTCCATATAAAATCACGATTGATTGTGATGTTTTTGTATTTTTTCCAAACATCCTTATTATTCTCAAAGCAAAATTAGCGAAATAGTTAATAACTCACAAAATTATATGAGTTTCAACAATAATAGTTCAATAGTTCTCTAACCTTGTATTGGTTTCTTACTAGTTCACAAGGTGTTCATTATTTCTCATTCGTTATTCTAACTTAAAATCTGCATAAGTTTTAATGGCAGCAATACCAGGTTAATCTAGGAACTGCATGATTTAATATTTTACAAATGGTGTACTAGTTCATAAACGGTTCTCTGGGTTCATGATTGGTTCACAATTTCGATAGTGGCCTAATTTTAGTATTTATTTTATGTCTTCGTGTTTCATATTAGAAAAGTTCTTATATATTTTTTGTACTATCGATTTTGTTGACCATATAATTTTATTTTTTGTTTATTGTTCACACATCGGAACTAGTTGCCTCGTAGTTCAATATTTTGTTTATTAGAAAAATTTCCGCTAGGTGGTTTCACAACCAACTTTTTCATACTACCCTCTTCCGAAATAAATAAAATTGTATTCTATTGGATGCTTCTGTGTAATATTTTTTATTTAACACATTTTTATTGTTCACAAAAGCGGAACTAGTTGTCCAATACTGTTTAACAGAGAAATCACTAGTTTTTTTATTTTATCTCTGCCTTTATTACTATGATGCTGAAGCTGCTGCTGCTTCTTATTTCTGATTAGCGTTGCACTTTTATCGTCAGTTTTATAAATTTCACAAAAACAAACAAAACATAGAAGCCTGTAATACCGAACACCCCATCAAATGTGAGGCAAAAACAAAATCTGATTTATAGAGAAACTGCTTTGCGTTGCTTGTCGGCTGCAAATCCATAAAATGCATCAATGTTTGCGTTTAAAATTCATCATTTGTTTTTTGTGGATTTTTATTTTGTTTTATGTTTTGCTCTTTTTTTGTTTGTTTTGGTTTTTTTTTCCTTTGAAGACAAAAGTTTCGTATAGCCAGAGAGCATAAAACTGGACGCTTGGTTGATTTTTGGGGGGCGATTTTCAGCAATATAAGCAATTTTGTGTTCCACTGCTCGCACATTCAGTGAGGCATACCAGACCGGCTGTCTGCCTGCCGGACTGGCTTAATTTTGCAGCTGACTGGGATTGTATAGCTTAGAGTCATATTATTTATGACACCCCTCCCTTGCTCCCCTCTCTTCTTTAGTTTTAATTTTTATTTTTTGGATAATTTCAGCAGTTTTTTGGTTTATTTATTTTATTTATTTATTTTTATTTTTTTTTTTCGTTACTACATACCCCCTTCTTAATTTTTGTAATTTTCAAAATTGGGTGTGTAAATTAAAACCGTGACGACAAAGCAAAAAGAAGACGACGAAGAAAAAATCAGTATCAAATACTTGTATTACTCTTTGCCTGTGGAAGTTCTTTTGAAGTTAATTTTATGCTTGAAAGAATTATGTGGCATATTAATATTCACCAACAAAATTATATATTTGTATGTCAGATATGAAAATATCTGGCGGCTATTGATATTGTCGATTTGATTTATGGATTTTTAGATTTTTATTTGACACAGCACAATTTGTCCTTTACAATTGTAGCCTAAATAAAAATTTACTATGTCCCCCTATAAGTCTCTCTTTATCTCCCACCCTCCTCTCCATTTTTTCCTGTATATTAAATATGCCATAAATCAAAAGCTCATTTTTCTTTCAATATTTTTGAAAATTGCAATTATAACTTTTAACACTTCAATACTCTTCTAACACCCCGTGCAACCAATAGCGCAGCAGCAGCATAAGACAAAAATCCATTGCAGTCGCAACAACAATAATCACAAATTTCAAACAAAACATACAAATTACTACCTTTATCACCTTTGGCATTAACTTCATAACAACAAAACGTGAAAAAATATTATTTTTTTTTAATTTTTTTCTTCGTCACTACGCTACAAGTCACACCATAAATCGTTTAGACAATTCTGTATTACGACTCAGTTAGTGGTAAGTCTTTGTCGTCATGGTGGCTGAGGTTGTTGTTGGCGTTCATTGTCGCTCTTGTATGGTGGCCTTTTCATTTTCCACTGGTACCTCCTTTAGTGATTTTGGCTTTAGAATACGTAAAATTTATTACAAATATCCAGAAATGATTTATGACCCTTAAAAACAAAGGTAGAATCTTTCTCCTCGTAAGAGTTATTTTTTTTTTAGAAATTTTCTTATAAGGAATGTATAGATTTTTTTATTAGTAATAAAAACATATGACATAAAAAATAAATTGTTGAATATTTTTCCTTACCCTATGGTATGTGTTCGCGTGAAAATAAGTCTGTCATAAAGTTTATTTGTTTTAACCATAAGGTAAATTCTTATTATAGCGGATCCGCAGGGTATGTTGAAAGGAATAAATCAATAAATGAAAATTAATAATGAAATAATCAAAAAGAATGGGAAATTGTGTAATGAAATCTTACATCTATCTTAGGATATATCTCTAGAGTTCAAAATATGTTCAATGAACAAACAACGCTCTCAGCTTTCATGGTTGGATATTTCTCCATTGAAAATATCCTATTGAGTTGTCAAAGATATCAACTCCAAACAATATGCACCAAAAGTAAATCCAACATTTCTTGAACTACAAGGGTTCACTCAAATGAACCCAAGTTTAAAAAATATTATGATATTTGAGTGCAACTCTGTCAGAAGTATGTCCTCTAGATCCTCTAGATATTATTAAAATAACACAGCATCGTTTCAAAAACATTCCAATATTTTACAATACCTTCGATTCATGTGTTCACTAGAGACCGATTCGTTCACAACTTGGTTGGTTCCGGAACGAACTAGTTCAAAGAAATGATCTGCACTACGTGTGATTCTTCTGTTTATCTATGTGGTCCTTTTGCTCCAGTCGTTCCTTTCAGCTCTTTTTGGCCAATCATTCACCTAGATTATATCGTTCATTGGCCAAATTAACTGACGTGAAAAATTTTGTTCCGATTCAGCAGATTTAGTTT